AGGTCAGGAAACAAGGACTGAAAGGTCACTTAGTGCAAACTGGAAAATCAGCTATTTGTTTTATATTAGCCTGTCTTAGTACCAAGAGTGGTATCTTATTTTGTCAGAAAAATTGTGAGGCCTTTGTGATCTGGTATTATTTTGAAACTTTTCATTAATATGATTTAAATATTTTATAAAGACCATCAGTTACTTTAAAGGTATTTTTTTGTGCTGCTTTATTAGTGGTCCTAGGAGTTCCTTAGCTGCTTGACCTTCAACAACTTCCTGTTTCAAATGTCAAGATACGTTTATGTGAAACTTTAATATTAGGGAGAAACTTCAAATTACAACCTGTCACACAATGGAATCATTGAGTTAGATTTATTGTTTAAAGCAAAATGGCAGAGTCTCCATATTTGGGAAGGATAAGGTAAAAAATGTTTTTGCTTAGAAGCTAAGAAAATGCTTTGGGGGGGGCTTTCAAACCAAATAACTGCAATTTTTATGAGGATTGTTGGCTTAGTTAGGTCCTTGTAACGAAGGCCACATTTGACAGTCCTTGCACGCTTACACTGGTATGTAGGGGAAAAGAGAAGAGCATAGAAACCGCACGTGGCTCCAAAAAAAACTGTCAGCTACTTTGCCTTCAGAAGCTCACTTCTCCTTTTTCAAGAAATTTCAGGTTGCATTTTTTTTTCACAGTCACTTAGAAATGTTAAGTCTTGCTGCTTGTTCATGTCAGTCCCAGTTGCAGAACTATGTAAAATTCTTTCAGTCACAGAGGTAAGTCTGCAGGGCTGTGGGATATATATGTTGGGTATTCACTAAACTGAGTAATGTCATAAGCACAGGATGAAATTACAACCCAAGTTACGTGACAGACCAGAGACCGGTAAATTGACAATCACAACATGACAATGTGATGGAGACCTCAGCTCACCAAATAGCTCACCAAAATCATTCTTCCTTTCTTCTCGGGTAAATGAGTAGAATACATTCCCAAGCTTCCCATAGCCAAATCACTATTTTCATTGTAACAATTTGTTACCGGGGCATCTGGGTTGAGTGGCCAACTCTTGGTTTTGACTTGGGTCATGATCTCATGGGTCCTGCAATGGAGCCCTGTGCCAGGGTCCTGACTCAGTGCGGAGTCTGCTGGAGATTCTCTCTCTCCCTCTTTCCCTCCCCCAACTCATCCACATACATGCTTTCTCTAAAAATAATTAATACATCTTTAAAAAAGTAATTTGTATACTGTTTTTATAATAAAAATGAAAAATAAAAGATATTTAATCTATTTTACTAATACCTTATCACTTTGTTACTAATAAAATAAAATAGATTTAGTTCTTCTAATTACTATGAGGAGGAGCTGAGGGAGGTTCTATTGTAAAGCAAAAAAATCATGCTTCAAATTTTGATTATTTTATAAAGAAATTAAATTAATTTGTGAGATTAACTTCTGTTGTCTACTTTAATCCAAATGTACATTATGAGTCCTGGTTAGTATTTCTTTGATCCTCAAACAATTTGTAAATAAATATCATTAAATTTAATTTTACTTTAACTTCATAAAGGAAAAAGAAGCTGACATAAAATTGAAGGTATTAGTGAACTTTAGGTAATTGTCACTTTCCCTCAAGAAATATTAATTGCTAAGACCTTCTAGAGTTTAAGAAATCATGAAGCACACAAAAAATCTTGGAGGTGATCATGGTTTTATTTGCTTCTTCATTACCTATGTGCTCATTCTCTGAACGTGTCTGGATTTCACATTGTGGCCTTATTTTCCTTTTAGTACTTTAGTCTTGCTGGTAGCCACTAGCCTGCCTTTTCTCCTTCCTTTTTTGAACAATTCAGTCCTAAATCTTTCAGGGAGAGCAAAGCAAGGAAGACAAATGTGGTTTCTGGTGGAAGGTGGCACAGTTGCCCAGAACAGTGGTGGGGTCACAGCCCAAAGGTAGTGAGGAAGGTGTCTCCATGGGGAGACTGTCTGAAATGAGGAATCAGGGTCTAAGCAGAATGGAGTGGGGGTCCCCACAGGGAGCGGTCCAGTGGGGGAAGTTAGAACCTGATCAGGGTGAGAGGGGCCCAAAAGGACAGGCTGATTGGCAAGGGCTATCTGAGCCCAAGTGAGATGGGAAGGAGGTTCACACGTGGGGTTGGTGGCAGAACTCAAGCAAGTAGAGAAGGTCATGCCCAAAAGGAAGGGCCCAGCATAGTGGTGCTGCACCCAAGCAGGGTCAGAAGCACATCCGTGAGGTGTGGAGGGCTAGCCTGGTAAGGGCTGTCAGAGCCTGATCAAGACAAGCTCATTCCCTCCGAGTTTTGGAGTTGACTCAGAGTAGGAATTCAGAGCCTGAGCAGGGAAAGGAGGGAATCCATGTGGGGTAAGGAATCGTGGCAGGAATAAGAGGCTGATAACATACAGGGGGCTTTATCAAAAAGTGAAGAGACTAGAGATAATGGAAACCAAATTTCCCACTGTCAGGGAAGGGAGTTAAAAAGATAGGAAAGGAAAAAACTAGAATTCAACCCTGTGGTATTAGATTGAAAGTGGGATATTGGGATGTATCAGTGTGAACACATTCATGATTTTCAATATGCATAGATGGGTATAGAAATACATATAGATAGAAAGGTGAGGGTGAACGTGTGTGTGTGTGCATATGCGTGTGTACATACATGTACTGTACATGCATATATTCTCTAGCTTTGTCCACTGGGAGAGCCTGGGATTAGTTCTTTCCCGATGGCAATGAGCACATCATTGACATATAGTGGCTTCTAAAGACTATTTTCCTCTAAAGGAACCAGGGTCTTTGGATAAATGGCTGATTCCAGGGCTGGGAAAGAGAAAGTAAAAGATGAGCCCAGAAAATCTTTTTATGCCCCCAAAGCAAGAAGAACTCAAGAGGAATGACGAGGCACATCAAAAGGACACAGAAGCCAGCTTGAATGGGCCCCCAACTGACAAATGGAGACAATTTGAGCACTGAAATGAATAGTAATAGATTATAACCTACTGCATAAAATAAAAAAATCATGGGTCCACATAGATACAAATAAATGAATCAATAATGGATATTAAATCCTATCACAAAATATTTAATACAAAGAGGAAAACAGTGTCTCTAAAGCAGGGCTACCTGGAAGATACCATTTTATTTAACCAACGGACCAGAGTAAACGTCATCAGTAATGGGATAAAAGGGTGTGAGGTAAGAACACAGCCCCACTTCCACATTATTCCTGCCAAAGACACAAAACTAAATCGAATCACCAGGAAACAGTCTATAAATCCAAACTGAAGGAGAATCTACAAAGTGACTTATCTGTCATCTTCCAATGAGTCAGGTCATGAAAACCAAGAAAAGACCAAGGACCTGCTAAAGGCACACGACAAAGAGATGCAAGAAATGGTTCTGAACTGGATCCTTTTGCTGGGAGGATGTCACCGAGACAACTAGAGAAACCTGAGTCCAAGGACAGATGGTAGTAATGCATCAACCCCGTTGCCGAACCGATGGTTGTAGTGATGCTGGGGAATCTTCGTTGGTCAGAAATACTTACTGAAGTATTTGGGGCAAAGGAACGTTGCACCGGCAACAATTCTGACATAGTTTATTGGGAGGAGGTATTTGTATTGTACTTACAATTTTTCTGTAAGTTTGTTTCAAAATTATGCATTGATAACTATGTCTAGTAAAATTCCATTAAATTGGAAATTTTGATCAGTGGGGCAGACTCTGGAGAAAACAGGATTTGCTGCCCTCCCCTGTGTGCAGTTGAACGTGTTCCTAGCAGTGAGGGTAAGCCCGCTCTGGAATCTTAAAAAAATAATCTTGTCACACTTTGATAAGTATCCCAGAAAGAGATCAGTTGACTGTTTTTCTCTGCAAACTCTGGTACTCAGCTAGGAAACCACCCACAGTTCATTTGCAGAATTCCAAGGCTCTCTTCAGAGCTAGTTGCTTTTCTGAGAGAATGTCAGAGGTGGAGATAATATATATTGGTACCATGAACTACTTTGGTTTGCCCAGACGGTCTTCTTTTTGCTTGCTTTTGAATACTTAAAAAACTGTATTTTATGATAACTAGATGATTGTTAATGGACATGAATTTCTGGACAGCAGAACACAGCCAACCATTTCATGAAAAGCAGAAGGTAACTCTGATAATTCAACAAGGAAGAAAGATTTAATTTGGGGGGGGAAAGTCCAAAGTTTAAAACCAAAGCCCACTTTTTAAAGATTTCATTTATTTATTAGAGAGAGAGAGAAAGAAAGAGAGAAAGCAGGGGCACGGGGAGAAGGAGAAGCAGACTGCCCACTGAGTGGGGAGCCCCAATGTGGGATTCCAGCATAAGACCCTGGGACCATGACCTGAGCTGAAGGCGGATACTTAACCGACTGATTCACCCGGGTTCCCCAAAAGCCAACTTCTAGTATGACCCTTTAAGAGAAAGACAAATCTGGAGGCAAAATACCTTGTAAAATGACAACTCACATTCAAAAACCTGGGCATCATGGTGAAATGATTATAGCCACTACTTAATATAGATGTCGAGAGACAATTCATGAATTCTGAGTATGGGTCAGTCTGTTTCGTTTTCAATTACCTCAATATTGAAGACCCCGCCATGGTTCCCCCCCATCTCGTGTGGGACCTGCTGACTCCCCAGGGAGCCGCAAGTCTGGGGGAGGACCTCGATTTCACAGTGAGGTCAATTTATGAAATGTGAAAGGAGACCACTGCCAAGAAATGCTTGCTCACCCTCTTTCGGCGGTGGGGGAATCTCCCTTCCCTTCTCTGGGTGAAGCTGAAGAAAGGATTCATAAATGAAGTCCAATCCTTTTCAACACCCCCCCAGCCCACACCTCCCAGCAATTGAACTTGAAAAAAAACCTGGTTAAAACCACTTCCTATATTTGAGACTAGAGAGGGCTAGGCACAATTTCCTGACTGAACAAAGCAGCCTAATAAGAGCGACTCCACACTGTCCTAGAGACTAGAGAGACCGCAGCAAGGATGACGGTCCGGACGGACTGATATCCTTTCATCTCCCATCCTCCCAGCATGATGCAAATAAGAGGCTGATAGGAAACTTGACCTTCTGCCAAGAAACACCTTCTCTCCACTGCCCTCAAGAAGGCAGCTGATCCCACGTGCCAGGACGATGGAGCCAAGCTTGCTGATGTGGGGAATCTCCACCTTCATCACAGTATCTGGCCACATGACAGGTAAGAGGTCACGGAGTGCCTTCAGAATCTGGGTAAGGCTAATGGATATTACCTCTTCCCAGCCACAGAATCAGGAGTGGGGAGTTACTTAAGTAGAAAATGCAAACAAAGGGGTTGAATCTTGGGGTCTATGCCTTGTCCATGACCCCCCCCCAGGGCCCCATGTTCTGCTTCCATCATCCCCGATCTATAAACAGAGCTTGAAACTGGGGGATCTCCTGCCACTCAGTCTTTGTTATCTCTAGGGTGAATGGAGTGGCATAACGGAATGTTAACAGGGCTACTAATGAGCAGGTTCCTCAAGAAATTTCCTCTTATTTTCCAATGGATTTGGTTTTTCACGGCACCAACCAGGTGTAAGATAACAAGAAAAATCTACTAGGAATCTCTCTAAGACCAAGGTAATATCCTGAGATGTCAGTAAGCAATATAGAAAATATTGGGGTAATTTTAAGTTTGGCTTCAAGGATGTATATGTTATTTTTAACTGCCTCAGGAAATAATATCGAGGATTTTCCTTACATATGCAACATTATAGAAATTTTAGAAAGCATAAGTGTACTCACTTTAAGAACTCTACTTTTTCTTATGACTTTATGTGTATGTATGCGTGTATCCATATGTGTATATATACACACACACATATGCAAATTTTGGATTTCATTCATCCTTTCAAATGGGTTTTGTCAAAGATTTTTTTTTAACAAATCAGAAACCACTAACTTCTACCTCAAACCACCTTCCCTAATTGAGTGTGAATTTTCTAATAACTTCTTCCCTTGCTTACCCAAAAGGACAGATAAGATATCAAAGTCTACAATTTCATAGCCTTAATTTCTAGATGAATAATAATGCTAACCAGCCATAGAAGGGTGTGTTAAGAAGTGAAGTGTGTTGCGGCCTATAAGGTGCCTTTATGCTTACTTGGTGAAGTAGTTAGGTTATGTTGAGCTGTGAGCTGACCCAGAGGTAGGAATTTCTTTATTGTGGAGTTGAAGAAGGCATGATTTCTGGAAGGTTTATGAGATGACTTCTGTTTCATTATGATCTTTGCAAAGTGGGAGGACAGTCCAAGCTAGAACAGAAAAGCCTTTACAACAGATCTGGGAAACACATTTCCAGTAAACCTGTTTTATTGCTAGCCATTGGTGACTTATCTGGAGATATGAATGGTCTTGGTGGCCGTGTGGCAAGTGGGAGTATTATGAGAAATCTTCCATTCACTCAGGTCTCCAAAAATCTATTCAGCACCTCTCAGTCCCCATCTCGACACCATAGGAAATATGAAAATGAACAAGACATAGTCTCAATCCTTGAGAGACTTATAACCCAGCAAGGGAAGGAAAGGCATGGACATCAGAACAGTACTACGGATTAGAATGTGATGGAATCTATGTGAGCAGGACAAACAGAGAAGCTGCATGACAGTAGCGTGCAAAAAGAGCCCTGAGAGACTAGTAAAGTTGCCCAAGTGGACATTCCAGATAGAAAGGCCCTATGACCAAAGACACATCAGAAGATGAGGGAACAGCAGGGGGTTTGTTGTGGCCCCCAACACTGGATGAGCATGTGGGGACATTGGGGATCGAGTATGAAAATATAGGATGGGGTCAAATGGACGATCCAAGACTACTAGACAATAAAAATGACCATGACCATTTATAGAGCGCCTTCCTTGTGCTAGACATGCAAGTCTCATTTTCGTCCTCATAACCACTTCGCAGCGTGGATATCACTGGGTGAAGAACCCAAAACTCAGAAGTCACACAGACAGGGACAGAGTTGGCGTTCCAACCCAGGGCTCCCTGACTTATAATGTTCCCATTCATTGCAGACACGTCTGTGGAGATGACCCTGGCATAGAGTGGAGGGAGATCAGGTGCACAGAGACAAGTTGCGAAGCCCCTAAAATAGTCCAGTCAAGAGGCTAATGAAGACTTGGTGGCCAAAGAGTGAAATGGGTTGAGTTTCTTGGATTAACATACAGTTTAGGAACCACCCCAGGATAAGAAAGAACCTCATCTCAGACCTTTTCCTCCAAGAGGAGGAACCCAGTCTTAAAATAAACAAGACTTTTTATTCCTCAGGGGGAGAGGTCTCTAACAAAATCAAACAGACTGCCAATAGATGCAATTTCTAGCTGATTCATAAGGCAGATTTTCATTCTGAAAATTTCCAAAGCCGCCAGTTAAAATTGTGATGGGTTGCAGAGGATGTATTAGTCAACTTAGGTGTTTTTAGTCTCTGTATTACTGGGTCCTGGGATGTGGTTAAAAAGAGAATTCTCCTGATGTTACCAAGATGGCACGTTAGCGAAGGCACCTTTCTCAGAATTGTGGAAATTCTGAAAGTTTATCTGTGCTTTCATCATCTTTCTTTCATTCTAGGAATTCTATGATCAAATCTTCATCCCCTAAATTAAAAAAAAAAAAACCAAAGTGTGGAAACCCATTAAGATGATATTTTTGTCTAATTATCCCTTCTTGTAAAGACTACTGCCCACACCGGAATTTCCCCTCTTCAAGTTTGCCATTAAAACCCAAAATGCTTCACTCTCCACACCTAATCATTCCATTTCTTCAGATCCCAAAGTGTTGTTACCATGGTTGACTCTGCTCATGTTCAAGATACACCTTGGAGAGACAGGGCTTTGGTAAGCTTAGGGAATACCTCACAGATCAGTTGCTACTTTCTTAAAACAGCATGTCTTACATATGTCACCTGTACGTACGCTCCATTTTAGATTTGAGCCAAGCAAGGCACACAAAAAAGTGACTTCACCCATGGTCAGTTAGAGGGGATAGTAAAAGAATCCTTGTTGATTCCTACAACTCCAACACTTGGACCCACTCATCTCAAAGAGAAGTATCCTTAAATTTCTTTGGCTAAGTCTTGAGGATTATGGATACTTCTCTGTTAGGTCTGGTGGAAGTTGTTGCTGTAATAGCTAGAGTCACCCCTGAGTCAGGCTAGTCCACAACATGGTAGCTGTTCAAGTGAATTTCCTTGTTTCCCGCCTTGCCCAGGGGTCAGGAGAAACTTCAAAAATTAAGACTTCCTTTAGAAAGTGGGGTCTATCACCTCAGGTCAGTGGAGAGAAGAACTGGGAGAAAATCGAACCTTGAAAGTGAGCCAAGGCCCATCCTAACAAGCATTGTTGGAGGATGCAAGACAAGACATGTGAACAGCATGACTTTTGACAAACTGCTCCTCCCTCCCTGGGCCTCAGTTTCTCCCTATAAAATGAGAAGGATGAAAGAGAAGATTTTGAGGCTCTTGTTGTTCTGTCAAAAATTCTGAAAAGGAACTAAAATAAGCTCTGCTTAAAAGGCATTTTCAAGCGAGGGTATTTTCAGACGAAAAAGTTTCCAGACTGAAGAGACACACACAAGGTCTGGGCTAAAGAGACATTTAAGTGGCAGAGTACCGAAGCCTGGCATGTCATGGCAGGTTATTTCCAACTCTTGAAAGGTACGCCACAGCACTTAGCCATGACCCACTGCTTCCGTACATGCTGCAGTTTTAAGCGTCAAGACCAAAACACCACTGAGGGCTGGTGACGCATTCTGCTGCTTGTTTGCTTCCTCAGGGAATCTTCGCCTTCAAACCATTTCCTTGTTCCTCACAGGAGCGGTCCTACATGAGTGGGAACCCGTTTCTCCTCTATTTATCCCTGGCCATTTCCTGTGAGAAAAGGATAGGTCCTCATTCAGTGGACTGCTTCAAAAGTTATAAGCCCTCTGTCCCTGAAAATGTTCCAGTAGAGCTGTCTGGCCACTTCTGGGGCCATCGAGGGGTGTAAGGAAGAGGGACAGAGTGGCCTTCTGGTCTCTTTCCAACCTTCCGTGCTGGTTCTCCTCTGCCTCCTTCCCATATGTTTTACCTCCCGTCTTAGAAAATGAAATTAAGGATATGTGATTTTCACATTTTGCAAAGCCAAGATCACAAACAAGTACAGGTTTTTGGCTCTAGGAGAGAAAGCACAATCCAGTCCACAGCCTGCGCCCTGCCCCAAACTCTGGACAGTGGTGAGAAACAGAAAAGCAATGGGTAAGGGGAAGTCTCTGAAAGGGTACAACTTGAACCATAGCTTTATTTGTGTTGGGCAAATTTCCAGTTGGCCAAACATTTGTAGTAAAAATTCCTCTGCTCCTTTCCTCTCCACAAAGGGCTCTCTTTCTCTGGAAGTAGTTGAGCGAAGCTCCAATCAGAGGTTGTCAAATAAGGTGGAGAGATTTCCCAAACCAGGCAGGAGGCTGAAGTGAGAGCCTCTGATCCCTTTGGATTTAGAATCTGTGATTTCTCTTCAGGCTGACCATGTGTGCCACCCTGGCATCAGTCCATGGCCCACCCAGGGGCCCTCAAAAGCTCCTGGGAGACTCTAAACTTCCTGAGATCTTCATCTCTTGTTCAGCTCTTCCTCGGGGCAGGTATCACGTGAGGAAAGCTTAAGAACAGTTAAGTACCTTCTTCTTGGCTTCCTAATAATTTCTTCAGGAATTTCTTCTTTGGTAGAGTCAGCCAATGCCCCAGGTAGCATCAAGGGAGGGAAAAAGCCCAGAGAACCTCATTGCATAAAGATCAACTCATTTGTCACTCCTCCACATAGAGCCTGAAGAATCTCAACAGGGAGAACATTGTGGTAGCAAGAATCCATCTGGCTTTTTTGGTTCTTAATCTTTTTTGAGTGGTGAGTCCTTGAGAAAACTTGATGAGATCTGTCTCCTTAGAAAAATGTACGCACACACACAAAATCTGGAGTATAATTCTCTGGGTTGTAGTCTCCCTGTAAACCACGGTCACCTGGCAAGATCTCCGAAGTGATCTTCACCATCTCTACACTGGTAGTCATAAACAGAGAGAATGAGACACAGAAAGTTACCCTCCCTGGAAAGAAAGCTGTAGCTGGCTTGGCAAAGGCAACTTAAGAGGCATGGTTGTATGCAGGGAGGACAGCAAGAGAAGGGTGCCAACGACAAAACAAAAACACTAGGCAACCA